TCATACACCTCAGTATTGATTTAAATTATTTTTAAGTATCTGAGTTAGCAGGGTACTGTGATCCTCTATTTGTTAGTTGTCAGGACATATGCCCTCACAACCTGTCTCCTGGTTGGTGAGATAGAGAATGAGAGTGGCTGCACATATCTCTATTAACTGTTTGTGAAGAGTAGTTAAGGGTGAGTCTGGCTATTATTTGTGGCCATATATCATTGGCTAGTTGATGCAGAAGGAAGTGGTGGCCTCACACAGTAAGTGGAGCTGCAAGAGTAGTGGGTGTGATTGGGTTGTATGGGTATGGTTGCTGTCTCCCACTCAGTTAGACAAAAATAACAACAATAATAATAAATCATCAAAAAATTAAAAGCAAGAGAATTAAAAACACACACTGCATAAACATACAGGAACGATCACCAAAAAGAGAAAAAGGGGAAAAAAAAAAAAAAGAGAGAGAGAAAAAAGGCAATAAATGAGAGAAAATATTTCAAGAAATACTTTAAAAAGCCAAAATAAACAGGAATATAAAATTGGGGAGGGTACACTATCTTGGGAAGGTTGAGTAAGAGAAAAGAAGTAGAACAGGAAAATAATGAAGAAAATAACGGGGAAAATGCCAAAATAAAAACTAGCAATGGGGAAAACCACAAGGAAAAAAAAAAATGGGAACCAGGAAAAGGTAAGGGAGAAAAAGTCAAAAACTAGAACTTGGGAAGGAAAGAAGAAAGAATGATAACAAGAAGAATGAAAATAATAATAATAACAATAATATTAATAATTTTAAAACAGTCAAAAACATACAAGCTAGGAAAAAAAAAAAAAAAAGAAAGAAAAAAAAATCAAGGCATGGCAAGTCAGGGTACCCAGGCACCATTAGCGCACACAGAGTGGGATGGAATTCCAGCTGACAAAGAAAGTGGGTGGGAGTGAGGGATGGTCACATCTCTTTTCACCAAGAGGGTGTGGGGTATAAGAATACCAAGGGGAATATCGTAACTTTCCAGTCCTTTGTGTCTGGATGTCCTTGAGGTCCCCAGCAAGTGGAGCCCATTCTTAGGTACCTGGAATCTGAGAATAACAAAGTCATTTTAAATATCCAAAATGGTCGAACTGGTATAAACATTTAAAATGGCTACACCCTCCCAACAGCCAAAAGTTTACAGTTCAGCCCCTCTCCCTCTTCATTGCTTCCCCTTTTATTCACTAGCAACCAGAGCAGTCCTCCGTGCAACCTTGGCTATCAGGGCCAAGTTTTAGGTTAATTCTTCGGTCCTAACACCACTTGGCAACATCCAAGCTGTCTGTGCTGTCATGATCCTTGACAGTCTGTAGCACATTATGTCTACTTTTGGGGGGTTTTCATGTAGGTTCTTCTACCAGTTGGCATTTAGTCCACTTCTTTATCCTTCCTTTCAAAGCTCAGGGCTCCAGGATTATCTTCTGTATCTGTGTTAATTGGTTCTTCTTTTCTTTGTTGAAGAGTCTGTGTAGTTTGTCTTCTTGTTCCAACATCTTACTGGAACCATCCCCATTTCATTTTTGACAACTTCTAATTTTCCTAGATTCTTACTTTGTCCATTCCATGTTCCAATTATTAATGAATGTTTGCAGCTGTTTCTACCCATTTTGAGTTGTGTCACATCAACAAATGAAGGTCCCAAAAGCTTTACTCCATCCATATTATTAAGGTTGTCTCTACTCTGAGGAAGCAGCTCTTCCCCAGTCATGTTTTGAGTGCCTTTTGACCTGAGGGGCTCATCTTCTGGCATTACAACAAACAATGTTTCATGGAAATTAAAAAAAAAAAATTCCAGTAACATATTGGACAGTGTTTCACTGCTATTCATAAGGTTTTCACTGGCCAATTCTTTGAGAAATAGATGACCTCTTCCTTCTTCTGAGTCTCTCTTAGCCTGGAAGCTCCTTTGAAACCTGCCCACCATGGGTAACCCTGCTTGTATTTGAAATACTGGGGGAAGCCTCATAGCAACACACAAGCCACCACAGTATGACAACCTACATACAAGTAGGGAATAGTGCCTCCCAAAATGGCCACCCTCAGTGACAAGAAGAGATGGTGCATCTCTACCCATTCATGAGAGAGAGAGTAATACATTCAATCTTGGAACATAGAAGGCCCACTCTGTAATCCCTCTCACACTTTACTTTACTCATCACTTTATATTCTTTTTGTTGATAATAAATCTATAGCTGTAAGTGTGCTATAAACCAGTTTTAAAAAAAAAAGAAAACTGCCATCAAGCCGATACTATATACTCTGCATGAACTTTGTGAGTCATTTACGTGAATTAACAAAACCCAAGAATCAGTGAGAGCCAGCAGGTCCTGATGTTTACCTATTTGGCAGTCTGAAAGATATCCTCCTAATGTATGAGCTCTGACTTACCTCCTGGGTTTCTAGAGTTCTAGAAATGCTGCATTTGCACCTGATCTGAAAGATGGTGTCCACCTAATTTGTGAGTTCTTGTCTACCTCTGGTGGCTAAGATTAGAGATAGAATATTCCACATGAATGTCTGGAGCTGAGGGTGGAGAAGTGAAGATAGGGTACATTTCCAAACTTTGGGAGTTGGATTCATGCTGATCTTTACCACAAAGTTAGTAATAAAGGTGAGGTTTGTTGACTGTGTTCCTTTAGTGCAAAGAGTTATGTGGGGAAATAACTTTCAGTTCTTATATCCTTTGGAAGTGAATTTTTTTAGGTCAAATTCTGAAAAATTCTCAATGATTATTGTTAGATCCCCTAGTAACACAAAATAACCCAATAGGCTAGTTTAGCTTACATAAATCATTTAACTCTACATCAAGTGAAAACAAATGACACAGGAAGGTTTTCCTTGACTCAGATTAATAGAGTCCATGATTGATTAGAATCTTTCTCAGCCAAGGAATCCCAACCCACTTTGTACTTTCAGTGTGAGTTTTAGAGGCTCTTTAAAAAAATAATTTTAGATTTTAAAATATTTTTAGAGTTTCCAGGAAAGCATTCTATAGAGTTATGGCACATTCACCTATTCCCTCTAGCTAAAACCCTTGACAAACTACAAATTGGCTGACCAGAAATCTGTGAATAAATGTGGACTGAGAAAGTAAGTTGCATAAACTAGAATCCAATCAGAATTAATTAAGTATCCTCATGAAAAATAAATAAATAAATAAAATATTTCTGTTGGCTACAGCAACATAGATTATTGTGTTTAATACACTCCGTCTTATTTTGAACAACTTTAGGGAAGTATATTCCACATATAAAATTTGCCCATTATCTACATAGCAAAGGATTTCCTCTTAGTCAGCATAGGTGAATTCACTTTCTATTCTAGATGTGAGGATTCATGGTGGTCTAGAGTGAGTTGTTTGTGTTCTAGACATAACTACTACCAGATTTGTTGTGTTGGCTCATCACATTTCAAATATACTTAGTATTTTTTAACTCCCCATTCTATGTGCTTGAAAATCAAGTAAAAGTAAGACTTGCTTCAAGGACTTACTGTTTGTTGATAGTATTTAATGACATAGGAAATCATATACTCCATCTGTACTGGTATTTTCCACAGATATTAGCTCATGACCAATATTTTAAATATTTGCATAGCAACAGCTCTGTATGTTACCAGTTTACCTTACTTATCTTGAAGAACTCTTAAAACTTACACTTTATTGAACTGAAAGATACATATGTAACTCTTTGGCGAGTTTAATAAGTAAAGTCAGTGTAGGATACATACTGGTTTTTCTATAAATGATTACCAAGTACATGATGAAAGATTAATTATCAAGAACCTACTTGGTGATAAGCTAGATTTTAGTGTTGTGGCAGTGAACTATATCTACAGGGGCTGCCTTTACAAGGATTACAGTCCAGGGCAGATTTGGACAATATTAAAACAATTGAACATTAGAACAATAAATGACAAAAATGGAGCATAATGGATGGAGCACTGTTGCAACACAGGGATGGGTTTCTAACTCAGATTTTAAAGTTCTAATAAGGTTTTATGAGGTAAGAGAAAAAGGGAATTAGTTTAACAAAGAAGGTATAGGGAAGGATAGTGCAGGAAAAAGATTGTTTCAGAGGAGAGTTGTGCAAAAAAAATCGAGATATTATAGCCATATAATTTATGCTATGATTTATGTTTTTTATTGACTGAATGGGAAAAAGGAGGTTGAAAATCCATGTGGAAGATGATATTTTCATTAATGTTGAGAACTGAGCTTTTATCAATTGTATAGAAGAAGAGGGGAAAGGTGGTGGTGATGGCAATACTTGGCCCCGGTATTCATGTATCATTATTTCTTCTAATGTGTACCACAATGATACATATGAGAGAAGACCTCAGGTGAAATAGCATCAAAAAGGCTACAGGAATAGGAAATATTGTCAATAAAATCATACCAAATGATTAAAACTGTTGAAAGATGAACTAAAATAAAATATTTCATACAATGTAATAAGAAAAAGTATTAGACCTAAAAGAATTACCCTCATATTATTCATTAAAATGTTCTTTTTCTAGCATTTTCTTCAGGGCAGCATTGACATTTTTATTCCTCAGGCTATAGATCAGAGGGTTAAGCATAGGCACAGCAATGGTATAAAACATGGAGGACACTTTCCTTCGGTCCATGGAGTTGGCTGATGATGGCTGGAGGTACATGAATGCTGCGGAACCATAGAAGATTGTAACAGCCAAAATGTGGGAGCTGCATGTGCTGAGGGCTTTGGATTTACCCTCGGTGGAGTGAATGTGATAGATGCTTGCAGCAATGAAGGTGTAAGAGCCAAGGATGGCCAGGGTTGGGGCAAAGATGTTAAAAGCACCAACACTTAGAATTAGTAATTCATTGACATAAGTACTAGAACAAGAGAGTTTTAAGAGAGGAAGAAGATCACAAAAATAATGGTTGATCACATCAAGTTTGCAGAAATGAACTCTGAGCATACAACCTGTATGTACTGAGGCACAAACCAGGCCTAAAATATACACCCCCAAAATCAGGCAGGAACAGACTCGAGAGGACATAATGACATTATAAAGTAATGGGCTACTGATAGCAACATAACGGTCATATGCCATTGCAGCCAGCATGTAACACTCTGAGATAGCAAAAATGAGGAAGAAATAGAGCTGAGTCATGCATTCAGGGTAGGAGATGATGTTCTCAGTAATAAAGTTCACCAGCATTTTGGGAGTAATGAGAGTGGAAGAGCAGAGATCAATGAAAGACAAACTACTCAGGAAATAGTACATAGGAGTGTGAAGGTTAGAACTGAATTTAATCAATGTTATCATGCCCAGGTTCCCCACCACTGTGACCATGTAGATTCCTAGGAAGAAAAGAAAGAGGGGCAGCTGGAGCTCTGGTTTTTCTGTTAGTCCAGCAAGGATGAACTCAGTTACTGTGGAATGATTTCCTGCTGCCATTTTCTCTTGGGTAGTTTCTGGAGGGGAGAGACAAAGACATGGTTATTGAAGGAACATCTTTGTTAATCATCATTTAGAAGGGGTGCACCATATAATGATTTATGACTTAGGGATCCTCTTAATCTCTGTATGATCCTTTAATATGGGTCCATTTACCTAAGGGAAATTAGTCTTAATTTAGTATTTATTTTGCCTTATTCAAGTGACTAAATTTACTTCATATAAAATAACAACATTTATGGTAATTTAAAAACTTCTATGTGTCTATTTCCTATATGGAACATTTCAATCAGCTGTTTTATTATATATATTAGATGTGCTGTGAGGCAGTGAAAAGTACATCCAAAAAAAAAAAAAAGATAATGTATAATTACAAAGGTGATCTCTATTATATTAAGCAGTAAGTAAATTATTATACAATTAAATTCATCAAGAAATATTCCAAATATATTGTATTTGAATTTAGAAACAAATATATAAAATCTCAAATTTTCTATTTCACACCTAAATCAAATAGTCTCAAAATGAATCATAAATCTAAGCATGAACTATAAAATTTCTCAGAGAAAACATTGAAGCAAATCTTCAGTACATTATAGTAGTTTTAGTATAAGATTTCTTTGAAAGCACACACACATATATAGAAACTAGCCATAAAAATGCATAAATTGTATTGTGTAGAAATGTAAAAATAATACCCTTGAAAATATACCATTAAGTAAATTAAAAGCAAACCACAGACAACACATACATCTGACAAAGGTTTTTACTCAAATATATAAATAATATTAACAATTAAATAATATTTAGCCAATCAACCAAATTAAAAAATAAAAGAATGATTTCAACAGATCCATCACAAAAGAACATATACAAATAGATAATAGGTATATAAAAATACTAAAACTAGTAGTTCATGGGGAAATTTAAGTGACAGGAGTAATGAAATATCAGTAAACACTCACAAGGGAATGACTATAAAAAAAAAAATCTAACAATATCAATCTTCAGTAGGCTATGAAGTGACTAAAACTCTTATACATACATGGTGGGTAAAACTGTCCTACCATGTATTTATAATAAACCCAATAACTGTGCCTCTTGAGTAGATAGAAAAATTAAATTAATATAGAGGTCAAATCTTAAAAAAAATTAATCCTGTAATATTTCTAAATGTAAGGTGAACATTTAAAAAACTCAATTTTAAAAATCCTTTGATTTTACAATGTTAACTGTGCCTCTCAGTAGTCAACAAAGAGAAATGCAGTACATATGTCTACATAAATACTTACACTAAAGTGTTCATGGCAGCAATAATAATGGTACTCAGAAACTGGAAGCAACCCAAATGTTCATCATCATAATAATAAATATAATACCTTTAGAATAAAATGGTAACCTTCCTTTAAT